ATACATAAATATCTACATAGGCGAGTATATATACGTATACCCAGCAGCAGTGAAATGAAGCAGGCAGAAGGGTGGAGGTTTTAGGACTGTTATAACCATGTTAAGGAAAATGCAGGCTATGGACCACCATACAGTAACTATTCTTATTCCAGAGAAAAACAGTCACTTGTAAAGGATCTGGGCAAGCGAATGGCCTGAAGCCAAGGCTTTCTGCAGGTGAAAGCTCAAGAACTGAACTGACTGCAGTACTGCAGGTAGTTAGTTCCAAAAAACAATGGCTAGTTCCAAAAAATTACACTTCCCAGGTCTGACACTAATGTGCTGTGCTGCCCTTCTTGAAAATAAGGTGTAAAGGAAATTTCTTGGGGTGCTGGAGAATGGTGGGGTGGGTGGAGATAATGTGTATTAGAAGTGCTGTTAGATTCAGAGAAGCCGCTTTGGAATCATAGTTGCTTTTTTGTTTTGGTCTTCCATGTCGGATTTCCCTTATTCAGAGCACCTAGAGTCTGGGTGATGTGAACGCCTTGTTTCTACACGTTTCCAGTGTGTTTTCCTTCATCTTAAACTAGGCAATTGTAAATCCATCAAAAGGAAGGCAAACAGCCAACTTCCCTGTGTCTGCAATAGGTCTAGGGGGCTGTGTGACCTGCTTGCCACGAGAAGCCTCCTCTTAAGGTAGTGGTACCCAAGACACGGGTCATAAGGCCTGCATTGTCCCTAAGACCCTCTAACACTTCTTTGGACAGAGGAACATAAAAGTTTCTATCTCAGCTTGGCATAAGGACAGCATGAAGTTGCCACCATTGCCCCTGTGGTCAAGGACCACTCACATAATTCAGCTGACAACATCTGGACAGAAAACCAGATCTTCCCAGAAGGCTGATCACACACAAACCTAGTCCTCTATTCAGAAGTTACAAAGGAAATAATTAAGCCTATTGATCGTTCTCTAATCCCTACAGCAACAGGACTCAATAGCACAGGGCTCCAAGCACAAGAACCCCTCAGACCCCCTGCCCTGGAGCTGCTGAAGTCGAAACTACAATACAGTGTTTACCAAAGGAGTGTGTGCCTGGCCTGAGGCTGACAGTGTGACCACGAACTAAAGTGTTTTTGGAGCAAGCCTTGGAGCTTCCTGAGGAACCTGTCTCACAGAATCAACACATGTTCCCTGGTCTGGAAATTCAAGACAAGTCACAGATGGAGAATGGCTATGCTGCTTCCGAACTGAGGGTCTTTGGGCTCCCTGAGAGCAAGAACACAAGTTATGCTTTTACTGCCAAATTCCTCTCACAGTGTAAAATTGCTGCTCGATTTTATTTGTGTTTCTCACACACCTCAGCTTCCTACTTTCTCCTTCAGCCAAGCTCATTTCCAAAGCAGCTGCAATAATGTCATTTCTCTTTTAAATGAAAACCTTGACTCTTTCAGTAATGTTGTTCCTCTGGCAACTAGTGTAACTGCATTTATCCTGATGGAGAGGTAATTTAATGCTTACTTTCATAATAAGTACAAATGGAAGCCTCATTATATAGGAAAGCGGTGGCAATTCTGTAATTACCAAGGCTGTTATTTTAAAGATCTCCCTTAATGTCCCACTATTTATCACCTGAAAATCCCCATGTCTCATTCTAACTGTGCCCAAACTGCTGCTCTTTCAGAAGAATGCTGATTTCAGGTAAATGGCTCCTCTCCCGTGCAACTTGAAGAAGTATCAGTCAAGCCTTCATGGTTTCACTTCTGGGTAATGTGCATACACAGACACGCAAATTGCACACGGTAAATTTAATAACAGAAAATACTGAGCTGAAAGATCATATTTTGTTTTCCATGGCCAACCTCCTTCAGCAGCCCTAAGCTGGTGCTTTTGTTTTATTAATAGTAGTGGAGGTACTTCAGCACTTAGATTTTTGAAGTAAGGTTTCAAAGCCTGTAAAACTTCTAACCTGGCATTTTACCCTGGTAAAGTCCATGGCAATGTTCCTGGTAAGATTAGAAATGCACTTTTTATATTCACAATTGTACAGCCCTGGCTCTAACTGTCTCACTGATTCCACATTCAGCCCCAGGCACTTGAGAGCACTCCTCTTTATTTTAAGAAGGAAAAAATGTCTGTATGTGGAGGGAACAGTTGGTTTTGTGAGACCTTGCCCCACTTATATCCTCAGTCATCCTTGTTATCGCTCTATTTTTGCATTAAAAATCACACCCAAGAATAGGACTGACAAAATCGAGAGCTACTTTGCCCCCATCCACTGCTCTGGGTTTTTCAATATTGCTCTGCTTCACCACATCATGGTGCATCCCAGCAGACAGCACCACACAGCGTCAGACACAGAGATGTCTGGTGTTATGTCCATTGCTGAAATCTATCAATATTTCAGAGAAACACATGTAGACACTACCAGACCATCCTGGACAGAGGTTGCCCTCCAGAGAGACACATGTAAAACCAGGTGGCAGGCTCTGAGGCACTGATCTATCTTCTCTCCACCTCTCCTCCTAACTAGGCAGGACAGAGGTTGGCTTGCATCTTGGATTATGAGCTTTTTGACTTCCATTTACAGAGTAGAAATCGCATACTGGAAATTAATGCTGCCCATGGAGAAAGGTCTTTTTTTGAAAGCTCTTTTCTCTCCCTCTTTATTTCATCTTTCTTTCCCCTAATTCATGTGTGTGCATTTATAACAGGAGCGGTGACTTCTTTTCTGGCCACAGAATAATTTTTGGAAAGCAGTGCATTAAAGAAAGAAAGAAAGAAAAAAAGGAAGGAAGGAAGAAAAAAAGGAAGGAAGGAAGAAAGAAAGAGAGAAAGAGAGAAAGAAAGAAAGAGAGAAAGAGAAAGAAAGAAAAAAAAGAAAGAAAAAGAAAGAAAGAAAGAAAGAAAGAAAGAAAGAAAGGAGAGAAAGAAAAGAGAGAAAGAAAGAGAGAAAGAAAGAGAGAAAGAGAAAGAAAGAAAGAAAGAAAGAAAGAAAAGAGAGAAAGAAAAGAGAGAAAGAAAGAGAGAAAGAAAGAGAGAAAGAGAAAGAAAGAAAGAAAGAAAGAAAGAAAGAAAGAAAGAAAGAAAGAAAGAAAGAAAGAAAGAAAGAAAGAAAGAAAGAAAGAAAGAAAAAACAAACTTCATCCACTTTAACAAAACTTAGGAGAGAAGAAAACTTTTTATAGTTTTATAAAAAATGTTTTTAGAAGTGGAGAAAGAGCCAATGAAAAAAGTAAGAAATTTCTTACCGTCCTCTGCACGACTAAGACCATGATGGTAGCTAACGCAAAGACGAGTAACACAACAAGGGTAGCGATGATGAAATACAAACATGTTTTGTTAGTGGCTCCAAGCCTCCTTGAAACGGTGTCTTCATTCACATGCATGGCTGATTCATGAGAGTCCTTCACCTGAAAAAGTGTTTGCTCTTGTGCCGAGCGCGTTCTTATATAGCTCTCAGGGTACTGCTCTGTATCTCCCCTTGATCTGGTTCAAGTCGCAGCCCATCTCTGCTCCTGGCAGGATTTTCCCCCTTCATCCTGGCTCATGTGATCTGGAAAAAACAACTTCATCACTTGCAGTACGAAGAAAGAGGGACCTGGGGGCGTGAAGCGGGACGCAGCTGTGAAGAGTGGAAGGAGCTTCATGTTCTTGATCAGGGATTTCGCGATGGCAGTCTGGTATGCTGCATCGGAGATTTCTGATGTCAGAAGGTGAACAGTTAGCAACATCAGTTGCTCCCCCCCCCCGCACTGGCTTTCTGTGAAATGGAGAGCTATGCAAATTCTGTTTCACTTTATACTCGGTGCAGCTACGGTTCAGTACAGTAAATCGCCCCGGAGATATGCCTTCCTGTTGCACAGAGTAACCTCTTCTAAATCCCAGTAGCGTCCCAGAGCTGCGCTTTCCAGAGCTCTGTGTTCAGAAGGTGACCTAGAGTTTGAGTTTGGTGACTGTTGCATTTGCCTGTGAAGGTCTGGAGATGTTGGGTGAGATTTTCATTGAAGTATTTCATACAAATGTGCCAGGAAGACGCCTTTGATGCAGGATGTAAGTTCTAGGCAGAGGCATAGAAAGAAAGCGGTCACAGCAAAGTAACTGAAAGCATGATGTGAGGATGTGCCCACAGAGGGTGTCTGCATTCACCTCCCTGCCTGTACCTCCTTATTGGCAGCTAGCAAATAAATGCTCATTTCTCTCCTGATCTCAAGCCTCTTCTCCATCCTAGCCTGGGACTATCACCCACCCATGGGGCTTCTCAGAGAACTCAGATTTCTTTAACTGGAAATATTCCTACTCCATTCCAGTGTGGAAGGACCAGTCATTCCTAACTCCGCATTTTTAATGTGAGATGACGACTTGCTTTCTGACCAGTCCAACTTGAAAGCCGCTTGGGTGTTCCTGAAAATTTTCACAGTTAGATGCGAGTCCTCTTTTGATTCATATCTATGCAAGCCAGTTAACTTGTATAACATGATCAAAATGACCAGGAGTATTATTTGTCTCAGCTATTCCTGGTTCAGAAGTACAAGGACATCAGAGAGGCCAAACAGCATATTACCAATGGTCCATCTGGCTCAACATCTTGCCTTCAGTAGAGAGCAACAAGAGATGCCTTGGGAGGAATATTAGAACAGAAAAAGCAGGTGTTTATTGAGTGTAATTCTCCAGTTTCCTCTGATTTGGGCTTGTGGGACTCTCAAACCAGAAGTAGTACCTTTCTATTTTATTCCAATTTTTCTTTACACCCCTGGCATTACAGAGTCCTGACATATTACTATTATTACTACTATCTCTAATACAATCACTAGAGCACAGCACTACAAAAGCTTCTATAGATTTCCAAAGCACTGTTTTTCAGAGCATCGCTTATCGCTGTGGAAGCAGGCACAATCTATTTTAATCAGAGACAAAGGGAACCAGCCTCCTCTCATTAAGGATGAGACAACAGTCTCACTTGGTCAGGCCTTCCTCAGGAAATCTGTCACTCAAGTCTGACAGGCTGGATGAGGTAGATTCTCTCCCGCTGGGTCCTGCTTGGTGGAGGCAAAACTTCTGGACAGCCGCTAGCAGCAGCGGTTCTCACTCGCCATGGTTTGTACTGGAAATTAATCTTGATTTGCAAGGGAAAGATTTACACAGTCTTGCCTGTGAAAGTTCATTTGACCCCTTAAAGCAGGCAGTCCTGCAGAGCAACAACCCCACCCTTTGGGAAGCAGAACATGGAGAATCCCTAACACCGTCATTTCTTCCATCCCTCCTTGATGATGTGACAATTTTGGAATGCAAGAAAATCCAAATTACAAAGATCTTGCAGTGACTGGCAGCATCGACTAGTCCGGAAAAGACAGTTCAGCATCTCTTGTTCACGGCTGAGCAGATACACACCTCACCAAGGGAGATGATTTTCAAGAGAGTAATGGTGGTGTAGTTTTAAGGATGTCACATCATGTTTGGTGTCATGAGGAGGGCACAGTCCTCTGAGCTTGTAGGCTTTTATGGTTGCACATGGATGTGCATAGTCAGCTCTTCAAACTGTAAAACACTAATGCTAAACTTACAAGCAGACAACCAGATACTGTGGTGGTGATGGCTGCAAAAGAGATCAGTGAAGGCCAGTGAGGGAAAGCAGGGCAAATTAATCCCTTCTGTAAACAAGTGCAATCCAGATCAAATTTGGCCTTTTACTTTCTAAGCTAAATTTGGTGTGTACAGCATTGGAAATCCACACAGTTTAGTGAGGTGGAAATGCTGAAATGTGCTGGGAAGGTCACATAATAATATATAGGAGCACAGAGCATCCACTCATGCAGTGGTATCATGCTATACAGTGTTCCAAGACAGCAAAGGCAAACACCTACGATTGCCCCAGGTAACAGCAGGAACTATGAGTGATTCCCCTTTTGTGACAGGTGAAATATCTTGAAATGTAGAAGTGAAATACTGCTCATCTAAGACAACTATACTGTTTAGGCATCCAGGAAGTTTTAAACAGGGTGACACTGCAGGATCAGTGGATACTTCTGTAAGTTTGCCTTAGGCAGTAAATAAAGCACTGCGCCTTCCCATTAAATACGTGTTCTTGGGGTTCTGTGGCTGTACATCCTGGCTTGCAGGCAGTGATGTATTTTCAAACATAATTTCAGTGCAATGCTCTGTTACTCTCTAGTTCCTAAGAATGTGACTCTGCAAACCCTATCACACCATCATCTGCCTCATTACGCCTGATTTTCAGAGCACAGTTCACTGCTTTCATGCCTTCTGACCAGTGTCCCATCAATTCTCACAAGCTCCAGTTCAAGAGGCTAAATATCAGGTGCTTGCCCTGTATTTGCATTGGCATGTGCTGCATCCTCTGCAGCAGAGCTTTGCATATAAGGACAAAGAGGGAGAAAACAAGTGAACCACAAAACCAGCAGGTCTAATTATTTCTTGGTAGATATTGCAAGTGACTCTCTCTAGCAGAAAAATACAAAATATCCCAGACGCTTATTAATATTTATTTATCTACTCCTCTGCTGAAAGGAAATGAACTTGCTGAGAACTGAAAACCTACCCACATGGTCAATGGAAATTCACCCTTGTCTGAAGTCTGCGAGAACCGAAAACCTTTCTGAAAGACATTAATGGCCATTTCTTCAAAGATGTGTAGGTACCCAGCTGCCACTCAAATCCAGGAGTGTGAGGTGTGTAGGTGCCTTTACAAGTTTGTGCTTTCATCCTCAATGGGAACTGGGTCCATTTCTCATCAAAACCACCGTTCGTGTTTACATCCATGCAGTTCGTTACCAGAACCTCATCCTTAGCTTCTCAAGACCTAAGAGAGCTCAGAGAAGATGCACCATAATGTATATTTTATTACCCTGATTGATTCCTAGTACCATCCTAATTAAGGGTCTTAGATAGCAAAGATGCTATTTGGCTTCTTATCTTCAAAACAGACCCCACTAAATATAGGAATATTTAACTTCAGCTGAGTTGCACCTGCGCGCACACATATAAACATGTGAGCACATGTGGGCGCTTGTAAATCATTTGATATGGAAATGCAAAATCAGTAAATTGAGGTTACTGCAAAACACCATTAGCACTCAAGGTATGAATCACCTTGTTGACGGAGGTTTTTAAGTTTCCCCCGATGAATCACTCTCTTGTATCGCACTTCGGCGTTAGGTTTGTACTCCGCGTCTCAGCCTGAGCCCAGGGAGATGGATGCCTGGGCCTGACAAAGTTGGGGGTTTTGGGTTGTTGGGTTTTTTTTTAATTATATTTATTAGAATCTATGTCCATTGATGGTTGTCCTTGGTAATCCAAGGCTGGTCACAGCATGGAGTAAATGACACTCCAATATCACGCTCCAGCACTGTTGCGATGATATTTTTGGCTGTCACTATAAAACGGTCTTTTGAGGGAGACGCTGCGTATCTTTCATCCAAGCCTTCTGCTCCTGCAACATGTTGGAAGGTTTCCAAGAACAGCAATGTTCTTTTCTCATTTTGTTTCTCAAATAAAATTACTGAATAAAAATAGACATCAGACGGGAGGAAAATAAAAGAAAAAAAGAAAGGTTAAAGTTGCCGTTGCGCAGTATTATCTCCTTGGGAAGCTATACAGCGTTTACTCGTACTGTGCAACTGTCTTCCTTGTTCAAAAGAATTATATCACTCAGTCTTGTAAGGCAATAGAAAAAAAGGTATATTAAATTAGCTGAAAATTGTCTATAGGGGGAAACCCACCTTTTTATAATGTAGGTGATATCCATCTCTTTTGAAGTGCAGGTAGAAACCAGAGGCATTAGGATAGATAATAAAATACAGTAATAAAACAGTAAAAATGGAACAGTTATAAAATTTCAATAACTTCCACAGAGTTGTCAGAGAGTGAGTTTGCTCAGTAGGAGTTATTGTCTGCCCAAACAGCAACAGTTCTTCCCATGTAGTGTCCTCCTCAAAGAAGGGAGCTGCCTGCTTTGCTGGAAAACCTTGGGTACCTTTCTCCAGCATTTGCTGGTAAGAGTCAATCCAAGTGGAAAAGCTCTTTTCTGGGTGCTAAACACCTCTGTATTCTGATCAATGACTTGGGAGTAAGATGAAGAAGATCATGCATGAATTGCAAAACTGGAAGAAATGGGATAATGAACAACATAGCTTAAATTAAAAAAATGTAGTTATTTAAAATGTGATTTTCAGGCACATCTAGAGATTTCAGATACCCGAAATTCCAGTTATTCTGTTATGAAACACCAGAAGGATCTTCATTTCCAGCAAGGTTCTCATCATTTCCTGAAAACCAGGGTATTTCTGTGTGATTCAAGCAGCATAATAAAATAATTGAGCCACCCAGAAGTATATTCAGACTCTGTGCCTACTGTGGGGTCTACATTCAAAAGAAAAAGGATTGTATCATTTCCAATTCATTAAGAGACAGAAAAAGGACATTAACACTTGCTGGTCTGACTATGGTTCTTAAAGTCTCTGGACCCACCTGAAGATCTTAGCCTGAGCAAATCCATGAGGTGGTTTCAGGTCAGCGGGAGCAAGTTCTAGTAAATGGATTTGGGTGGCAGGAAGGAACAACCATGAGCACTGAAACTCACCAAATGAAGGGAACGGCTCCATCTCATTGTGCTGGATGTTGGCTGAGGTCTGCAGAGAACACACGGTAACTATGTGTTGTATGAAGGGAAGTAGCACTGAAACCAGCTGTTTCCAGATATACCAAGGCTGGCAGAGAAATGCAGCACTGTGATCAAGCCATCGTAGAAAAGGATCTTACACCAACTGTGTGTAAGAGACTCATAGATTTTTAAGTCAGAAGGGGGCCTTTAGATCATATCATCTGACATGTTATTCAGGAAAAGGGCATATGGTTTTACCTGGAAAACCCGGAAAATAATAATGTTGATGGGCGAGGCAAGAAACCATCAGGTAGGGTCTGAGTTGTGGGACAGGATCAGATTGAGCAACGTTTTGCATCTGCATGTGGCTCTCCCACCGCACCTAAGGAAGTGTGTGGGGCATGTAGACACCTGGGGATGCAGATGAGCAATGGTTTCAGAAATGGTGACAGTGCCTCTTAGATGGAAAGGGGAACTCAGGTGTCTTTGGAGACAGAGATATAAACGTCTAGGTTAGGAAAGGCATTGCTCTGGAAATGTTAGGCTGTAATAATGAGAATTTTCCTGTGTGTAATTATGAAACTTTTAGTAATTTGCCATGGTAAT